TTGCCGAGGCGCCGGGGTGGTAGAGCTTCTAGAGCTACTACCAGAGGCATCCATCGTGGCATTCTACAGGTTCTGAGAGAAAGGATTGTTCTCATCCTTCAGTATCTTGTGGTTGGCACGAGCTCGCATCAGATCTATTCAAGCCGAATTGCACAGATAGACGAACGTTTGGAACACCTGCAGAACAATTGGGTGGAAGACAAATTCGTTGTGCTGCCGAAATTGCATTGACCGAACTCCACATTCACAAGTTGAGATTTCTGTGCCAACTGGTCCGCACTCTTCATTTGCACTGGCAGCAACACGGTCGACCACCACCAGTTGATCTCGATTTGCGCTCCTAGATTTTCTTTATTTAACACCATCCGTGCTGGGGTATGGCATTTTGACACCTGTATATGGCCAACCCACCGTACGGTGCAGCGTGACGAATGCCCCCAGTGCGAAAAGAAGCAGTGTGCTGCAGTGTCAGTCGTTCACATGAGTTGCAAGCATCTTGAATAACAAGTATATATGTATATATGAATATATGTGTATATGTATATATGTGTATATGTATATATATGTATATGTATATATGTAAATATGTACATATGTAAATATGTATATATGTATAAATGTACATATGTATATATGTAAATATATGTATATATGTATATATGTATATATGTATATATGATTTGTATATATGTATATATGTATATATGTATATATGTATATATGTATATATGTATATATGTATATATGTATATATGTATATATGTATATATGTATATGTATATATATATATATGGCGCAGCGTCTCGTGGTCCCGCCTGCCCCCCCGAGATGGTGATGGTCCCTATATGTATATGTAGGTTATACATACATATTCGTAAGTAGTGTAAATATCGACATATATATATATATAGACATGTGTGTATGTATACGGATGTAGTATGTGTGTGCGCAAATGTGTACAGTATGTATATTCATGTGTTTATGCATATGTCTATGTATCCCTCCCCCTGTGGATGTGGTGGGGGCGTGGGAGGTTACCCCCCATAGCATATGGGGTAGGGGGGCCGTGAACAGGAGACATGGGACCATACATGTATATGTATATGTACATGTATATGTTTATGTATATGTATATGTATCTGTATATGTATCTGTATATGTATATGTATATGTATATGCATGTGCATCTGTATCTGTATCTGTATATGTTTATGTATATGTATATGCATATGTATATGGATATTATGGATATAGATATGCATGTGCATGTGCATATGTATACGTATATGTATATGTGTATTTATATTTATATTTATATTTATATTTATATGTGTATATATATATATATATCCAACAAAGGAGCATGGTTAATAATACAAATGACCACTTAATTTGTGATCCCATATGCACTCTTTGTATGGCGTCAGGTGGCGAAGGCCAAGCTGGCTAAAGGCGCGCCAACGTTTGGCCAATGACAGGGCAAGACCTTAAGGCGGCATGGGTAATGGGGGCGAAGAGAGATGCGGTGATTGGCAGCACCGAGACCTAGGTGTGATTCTCGAAAAACATATGGTCGCCTTGCTGCGCGATGAAAAATACCCTTGCCCCATATGTATAAGTTTGCCTTCACTAGATTATTCAAGTATTTTGTCCAATGCCAGAACCCAATCTTGACCTGAGTAAGACAAAACAACATGAAACCTACGCAATCCATACGGAATTCATGTAGATGGTATGGTAAGTCGAAATTAAATGCGTGCAAATGAACAGCCTTGGCACATCTTGGCATCTTCAACGGGGATTTTTGTTGTGATCTTCGTGCGTATCAGTTGATTTCCTCCAGAAATCAAATCAGTCGTCTTTGGTATTTTCTGGGTACTAGTTAAACGGATAGCGCATTCATACATCTTGTTTTTTCCATGGTTAGTCTATATGTGTATACATACATATAGACATATCTACATATCAACATGTCTACATATCTACATATCATATCAATTAATAATAAAAATACCCCTGTAGCTGGTTTGGCTGCATGTTCATCCTTCCATTCCGATGGGTTCCGACTCCAGATGGAAACAGCGGAGTGCCAGGTGCAGCGGCTGGATGTTGGGGCCACAGCCTGGGGCCGCAGCCAAGATGTCTTGCGCGAGCGCTACGTCAATTCCCACGAAGGCGATGTTGCCGATGGCGAGCAAAACGGTATGGGGACATTGAAATGCTGTGGGGACATACCAAAATGGTTGAAGAATGTTGAAGATATCGCCAAAATGACAATGGCATGGAAAATATGGATTGTTTATAACTGACATACATTTGGAATTTTCATGACTGCTATACGAAGATCCTTTTTGAGCTGATTGAAATTAGGCGTTGTCATTTGCCATGATGAAACCCATAAATTGAATTGGCTCATGTGATTTGCAGGCCCTGACGTGTCTCGAAATGATTCAGGAAAGTCTACTACTCAGAGAGGTGGATTCCAACAGAGTGATGCTGAAGAAAGCGGTTGTTGTCATATTCTAGATCTAGATCTCTGAGAACAAAGTGCCCTTGGACACTTCACGGCACGCCTTGATTGCATGGCTGTCTTGGGTGGGGTGCCCAGTGAGGCCCACTGCCAGATTTGACGTGGGAGACATTTGCGAAGTCATCGGAGCAGCGTGCGGGGGCTCAATTTGTTTCCTGGCTGGGCCTCTGGCTGTGTGAAGTGATTTTTCCCGGGTTTCTCAAAAGAATGAGACCCCTCATGACAGTCAAGTTGGGACTCAATGATTTTTGTTTTCCATGTTTTTTTTTTGGCATCATTGTCATTCATGATCCTTGACGAGGTTGGTCCGGCAGGCTGAAGATCTTCAAAGCCCCAAGGTAGCACAGCTGCTGGACGGGCTTGGCCCTCGGATCGGGTCCATTTCTGTTGGAAAAATGGCCCTTTCCCATGGGATGAAGCAATCGGATGGCCCGTAGTTTTTGGGAAGCCACCAGTTTTGTGTACAGCCACAGTTTGATGCTTGTGTTTGTGTTTCGTAAGATTTTCTGGACTTCACTCTGTCATACTCTGTCAATCTCTGTTGATTTTAGTCTTTCCAGGTGTCGTGTTGAAGTGACACAAATCGGTGGGCGCCTCAAGTTGAAGTTGTTGCTGAAGAGATGGTGATTCATTTTCCAAACGGGCAAACGGGTTAGTGCTTGGGATGATGATCCCACATCGACTTCATATTTTCTGTCAGGTTCCGGAGCAAGTGGCAAGCGCATTGCCATCCAAGATACAGGCAGTGTCCACGGTTGGGTGCTAGCCTTAGTCTGGTGGATCAACCCCAAATTGCCTGGTGTTTTCAAATCAGTTCATTTTTTTCATTTCTTATCCGCTTGATGATCCCTTATATTTTCAATTCTTTTTCATTCTTCATCGAAATCGCCAAGCAGCAACTTTCTCAGGTTAGTGTGGTGTCGTCCAGCGGTGAAGCTTTGGTTCGCATCATTGAAAAGGATGGGGAATTCTCCGATCTGACTTTCTTTTTTGAGCGGTGGCGGCGCAACGTTGTTTTAACGGTTGAGTGATACTCGTATTTCTTGAATGATGCTTCAAACACACGTGTAAATCTTGTAAATGGCAAACATCAAGCTATACGTGCTATACAAGGGACTGTTCCTTTGCAACTGTGGACATGCTCTGGTATTGGGATGAGCACGACGTCACCACCATTGCGAGGAACTGCGTGGGGCGGCTCGTGAGAAGAGGAGACTGGTGCTCTGAATATCTCTGAACATTCATTTCAACAACTGTATGGGGAGATCACATCCCAGTCGATTTTTGGTGCAGTCCACTGATTTTGTAGGATCGAGGCGGCAGTGAAGGCTGCCCGTCATGATCATGGCAAGCACACAGCGCGCTTTGCGGGGCCCTCGTGACATGTGGATGAAGTGTAGGATTCTTCAGTTGTGGTAGCGGTAGTAGTTTTATTGTGATCTATGATCCAGGATAAGAAGGATCGGCTCTTCAGCTGCGTTTCATCAAGCCTTGAACCTGAGGAAGTGGGCGACTTGTGCCATGTGATCACGAGTGTGTGGCAGCCTCATGTTTAAGATGAGTTGCGCATCATGTTTAAAGACTAGAGTTGCACATCTTTCGTGAAGTCACGGCCTTTGGAAAGCAAACATAGCAAACAGATGGTATTGTCACTAGCCGAAATGCTCAAGCTTGACCCTCACATTCCCCCATTCTTTTTGAATGTTGCAAATGAACAAAACCTCAGCCGTAGCCGTCAAGGATTGTTCGGAAGGAAGAGGCTTTGGACAGTCCGCAAGTCGCCAAGCTGCCAGACCGATGCCAAGTGGAGGCTCGCGGCTGATGGGAAAATTGCTATCTGAAGTACAGCAAATGTATTTAACCACCATTAATACTTGTGGCATCCTGGAGATATTGGCAAATAACTTCATCCAAAACTCGGTCTGTGTTTCTACAATGTATATATATATTAATCTCATCAACACCCATAAGACATAAGATATATGTATATTATACTTGGCAAAAACTTCCATTTGGCTGCTGATCAGTGCTCGAAGTTTCCAGTGGACCATCGATTCAGCTGACCCTCTGACAGGTGCTTGAGATTGGCAGTGGACCCAGTGGCAAACGTCTTTGTGTGAGAGATGAAGAAGGTGGGACAAGCTCTTTAGACAGAAAACCATTTTTTTTTGTTGGGATATAACTGCGCTTATGGGTTATTTTAAAGTTGGATATAACATCTATAAGTTGGATATATATATATATTTATATCCACATAACTGGGTTTAACTGGAACTTCCAAGTATGGACTAGCGTCAATAAGTGACCATTTTCTCGCCAGGTGTCTCTGGGTGGATCAGTGTGGTCTCCTCCGATGGTGACCCTGGGCATCTATGTTGTGTCCACCATAGTTGTGTCCATACGTCTTTATATCCCCATAGTATCACATAGTTATGTTCATTTTTAAATCATCATCTCAACCAACATGGGGATATCAGGTTGCAGACTTCGGTTAGTCCTTGACTACGGCAGGTACGCAGCTTCTCCGGAAGGTCAAAGCACCGTGCTTTGGCGCAGATCCATGGCTCGCTGAAAGCGACTCATGTGGTATAAGAATTCCCCAAATGGTAGTTGTTTATGGCATCGGGTTTACCACATTAATAATGTCTATGTTTATGTTGCTGCATATAAAAAAACTATGGGAACATGCCTTGATTTGGCAATTCTGGTGGAAAGTGAATTCCGGTGGAAAGTGATAGACAGCTTCTTGGAGCTCAGGCAAACTGAAAAACAATGTATCACTCACGTTCCCAACTTGATGGTTTTGGAGTGAAACTACACATGGCAGTTGAAAACCCTGGCAACATCCTTTATAATCTTTATAACTTATAACTATTCTGGAGACATTCTACAGTAATTCTTCAAAATGTGCATCATAGATCATCAGACAAAACCAATTCAAAACAAGTATGAAGATGGAGTATCGATATCATAGTATCGAAGTTAGTATCACAATGTATAATATAGTCAATGGGTTCTTTTTCCTCATGATTATGATTGTTGGCTATTATGATACATGATCGAATATCATTGATCATGATGATATATCATAATATCCCATGATGATCTACGGGATTTTCCTGCAATTTTTCCCTTCAACCAATCCAGTGAGACCCACAGCGAGGCTTCCAGAGGCGCCGGCTTTTCCGGCTTTTTCACCAGTCACCTTGGAGGCGATGTCGCAGCACGGGGTAGTGGATAGTTTTTTGGTGGTAGCTCTGCCTGATATATATATATATTACATGAGGTTATTGATATAGATTTATATGAATCTATGTGTATATACAGTATATATATAAATTATATTGTGTATCTATATGGATATGTATACATCTGTGGACCTCTTCCTGTTTTGAAAGGGAGAAGTTTGCAACTTCACTGCTCACAACCTTTCATGTGGGGAATTTCGCTGAGAGGAATATCCTCCGGTCGAGTCAAAGATCGTTGAGACCAAAAAGCCGCGGCCACAAGCGCCTTCACTCAGTACCGTCCGACACTGAGTTGCTGACTCATTATGCGACACTCCCTGAGCTGGGAAGAGAAGTGCGTTCCAAGACTTTGGGTGAAACATGCTGAAACGGTAATACTACAGAGGAATCTTTTTCCATGTGAACTGTGATGATGGCGCCGCGATTGAAAACTGCTGAGGTCCAACCGTCAACCCTGGCAAAGTTTGTAGAGCCATTCTTTTTGGTTTGGAACTCAATGGATGCACATGATTTCGTGTTGGAACACTTCGCAGAAAATGCAATCCACCCTAGAAAAGACCACTGGTGGTTCGGACTGAAACAGATCACCCGCTATTCTGCCCATGGCACAACATGGGGTTCGTCCAAAAACAGGACATACTCAGTTCATGGCCATGGCTATTTCAATGCGGAAACACACTTTCTAATCCATTGGAATCGGGAGGCCCATTTTTCAGACAAAGCTATAAACAATTCTAATTCTACATATTTCCAACTCAGGTGAGTTCCACAAGAGCGCAACGTGGTTTTGACTTGGCAGCAAACTCAGCTGTCGGATTTGATCCCATGGAACTTGGATGATTCTTCTTTCCTTGTATAGTTTGGCTGAGTGAAGGACCAACTAGCCACATTTTGCCAGGAAATCTCCTATCTGCAGAGAGAAGACATCGAGCAGTTACTCTCCGAGAAGTTTGCCAGCGAAGGCATTCAGGACTGGCTGAAGTACCAACCACTAGCAACTGATGGCAAGCTATAGCAATTGATAGCCATAGCTAGGGTCAGATCATATTAAGTGAATTAAGTGGTTGTTCTATGTTGTTCTCTGAGTCATAGCATCATGGCCCTTGAGGAGCCCAGCTACGACCACTTGAAGTTGCGGGATGCCACTGGAAAATGGTACAGGTGTGGCGAAATCGTTGGGTAACAGTCGGATGTAGCAGGTCGGATGGACAGTACCTACTGCATCGACTGCGACTGAGGCCAGGAGAAGCACCAGATGTGCCCACCCCGGACCTTTTCCCATTGACACTGTACTACAGGCCCTGTGAACATCTGCATCTGTGAACCGATGGACCGTGATGGACCCATGCCCTGCCTGCTCTTGTTTTTGAAGAGGCCTCCAAAGCCGCAACATTCCGCCGAGACAGTCGGGCTTCAAAGGTTTTTCACTTGAACCGCACGTCTTGGTGAACACTCAGCTCTTCACAAATACCTTGAGGTCCTAACCTTGAGAAGAAGAGAAGCCTATGAGGCAGTGGTTTCCGCTGAATAGATGCCAATGTTCCAGTCTACACTGCATGAGTTATTTTAGAAAAGTAGCCCCAAAACTGGATCGATAAAGATCCTCTATGGTCACTGTTCATTTTGAGGACGCCCACAATTTCTCTTGATTTTGCTTCAGGGTTCCAAAACTGTCTCCATTCACCAGGCCCTGCTTTGCTTCAGTGTTGCCAATTGGACATCCACCAGAAACATCCAGAAACTAGGAATGTACTTGGAATACCATATTTATAATATAAATCTATAATGTTTGGGCCATCCAAGCAGAGCCTATCCCTTCTGGTGCAAGGCCTTATCTCCTTCTCAGCGAAAGGGCTTATCGGAGGTGCAGTCAGGATCTTAGATGGGCAGCTGCTGGAAGGTGGGTTGAGGCAACGCAACAAAGTTTTTGGGATTTTGTGGCAAGCAAAAATCAGGGTTGCTCCAACCTATTGTAGGTAAATCATTGGTTATTTACCATATTAACCACCCTTGCAACCTGGGATGTTTGGAGCAACCCTTGAATTGGGGACGGAAAGACTAAACTAAAGGTGCGGGCTTGACTTGCAAGATGTTGACCAGGGATTTAGGCAATCGCGATGAGGCTTTGAAACCAAACTTTAAAACAACAGTGTGTCATCCAGAAAGATTGAGATTTTACCAACAAACATCGAAAAAAGGCACTCCAGGAACCCAGCCCCCAGTTTCCGTGGAAAACTGATGAATGATTGAAAGGGGTGGTGTGCTTCTGAGTTCCATGCCACGAAGGGTGTTTGTTTGTGAAATTGTGACTGGCCTGTCAGGGCCTGTCAGGCTTTCAAGACTTCCAGAATTCATGGTTTATTTCTTCTCATGGGTCTTGATAATTTAACCTGTGGGTAATTCGGATTTTTCCGAGAACTTTTTATTTTTTTTTAAAGTTCTCATTTCTCAACCTCAATTTGGGATTTTTTTATCCAAACATATCCAAGCTGACTCTCATAGTTTTCCCGGGGTGGCTCAACCACCAGTCATCTTCTTCGCGATTGCCATAGGGCCATAGATTGGTGGCTTAAGGCGACAGCTGGAGTGTGCCTACAACGCCCAGAATAACGACTTGGTGGAGCGCCTGAGAGATTCACCATATCACGGCTGTGATGGGGCTGATGCAACCTCCAAAATGAATGCTGGCTTTGGGAGTTTTGAGGGACTTATAGATACCTGGTTGGTGGTTTGGAATATTTTTTATTTTCCATTTCATATATTAGGGATGATCAATGGGATGTCATCCTTCCCATTGACGAACTCATATTTTTCAGAGGGGTAGGTCAACCACCAACCAGATACTTATGGCATATCCATTCTATCCAGTTTCCATTTCTGCTTTGTCATTGTAATCTCCAAGAAGTTCGTGTGACCTTGGCAGGACCGGGCAATGCGGCTGGCGCATTCCCTGGGGCTCCCACTCGGGACCAGCTTGAAGCAGCGAAAAAAACCTGGCGTTTCTGAGTCTAGGGGGCAGTCCCAGACATTTTCAATATTTTTCAATGGGATACATTGGGAGATGTTCAAAAGTTGCTGATTTTTCCAGTCACGGGCTGAAAAGTTGCAGGACTGGTGGCTTGCCATCCTCATTGATGCCAGAGTCGGTTTGCTTTCCGAAAGGCCTTGGAGATTTCGCGGCCCATTTGCTAAACCAACCCATTCTTGGCATATTTTGGTATACACTTGACCCGTAGCCATGAAGAAAATGGTGGTAGTTATACCGAGTTATACCAGTTATACCCACCAAAAAGTATTCTAAGGTTGATGTTTCGACTGCTGGCCAGGCAATGAGCCGCTGCTGTACGATGGTCACATCTACTCGATGCACTCCACCTCTCTGTTGGTGTTCGATCCACCGGACTTCAGTGTGTGGGGCTGCCTATGGGAATCCCATAGAACGCACCTGGTTTTGTAGGGCATGGTGGCATGGTTCCCTGGGGTTGAACCCAGCAGAAAACAATCACCCTTTTACCTCCAAAAGGTGATAGAACCAACAGCGTCAGCTGGGATGGTCCAGCTGATCCTGCCAGGCCAATGGGAATGTGGAACCCGCAGCGTTTGGAGCTCAACCGAAGAAATTGGGGGATGATGGGGGAAAACCTGCGGAACATGATCAAACATGTTTTCACGAAAGCTAGCTTCTGCTAGCTGAAGTCCCTCTTGCTTTAGCAAGGTATTGGGGGGGCTGGAATCTCCAATCGCATGAAACTTCATACTTAACCTACTCCCCCCCAGCTGGCTGGTTCACAAGCAGTTTGGCCGTGGCCCAACCTCCAGCGTGGACACCGTCCGCATGTCACCCCTGGTAGCAAATTCGGCAGCACGGACACCGTCCGCATGTCGCCCCTGGTAGCAAATTCGGCCCCCATCCTCAGCATCATTGTGTTTTCATGAAAAGCTCCCTGCCAAGCTAGCTTTTGTCCCTTACCCTGGGCCTCAAGTTTTTTCCAAGAAAACATGATTGATGACCCGAAATGGATGGCTTAAGACATAGAATGAAGATAATTGTAGGTGCTTTGAGAATCTTTGAGATATATCATAAAATTTCCAACTTTGGGGTTGGGGGATACCAAGGCCAAAGGGTTGATCCTGCAGTGTTGCAGCTGCTCGGATAGCGAAGGGGGAGCAGTTGGGACACTGCCTCTGTCATTGTCAACTTGAATCCCCATGGTTGTTGAGTCATAGATGTATCACGTTTTATACATAATGTTTTATCCAGATCTTGGTGCTTGCATTTAAATGATAAGTGTTGCCGAACATGCCGTACTGCAGCGTATATATATATATATTTATTATATTTGTATATACATTATCTAGGGTTGACTGAGGCGCTTCGGCGACATCACGGCAATGCGTAATCCACATTTGTGGTGCACTGTAACAATCCAAGGAGGAAACTCATGGTGGTATCCCGAAGTCATCAAACATCAACCACCTCCAGACCCATTGCTTGGTTTCCCTCTCGCCTTGAATTGCAAATTGTCCCCCAATTCAGGAATGAGCATCCCAACAGATCTGACATCGTGCACTTTGGAAAGTCTTCGTCTCAGTTAGTCTTTAAGATTCTTACTTTTCATGACGACGACGAGGATGATGATGATGGTGGTGATGATGGTGTTGTTGATGACGACGACGATGACGATGACCTGATAATGATGATAATGACGATTATTATTATATATTACGATATTATTATTACTATATTATTATTTATTATTATTATTATTCAATGATACACCTAATCGACATCCATGAAAACTCTCCATGGGTACGTTGCCAATGGTCAGGACCTTCCATATGTTGGAGCAGGGCCACATCATTGACCCAGACTCGCAGCAGGTCGGAACATTGCATTGTATGGGCTCAAATTGCTCCCACAAACGGCCACGGATGCCGTCACATGCTGTTTTCATCATAGATCAGTGGCGAGTGTGAAGATGGCGGTGATGGCGGTGATGATGGTGATGATGGTGATGATGGTGACCATGACGATCATGATCATCATGATCATCATGATAAAAATGATAAAAATGACAAAAATGGCAAACATGACAAAAATGATCATCATGATCATCATGATCATCAGGATCATCATGATCATCATCATCATGATGATCAGGATCATGACCCATCTGGTGAGAGTATAACTGCCCCTTGCCCGCTCTACTGAGACAACACTCCGTGAGACTTGCCCACTCCGGTGCAGACCATCCTCCCAGGTCGTGGGGATGATCCGTCCGATGACGGGGGACTTTGAGTTCTTTGACCCCATCCCGCTGCAAGTCTGGGGACTCTCCTGATGGTCGCCGTGGGATGTGTCACATTTCCTGCAGCCGCTCTAGTTTTGGTTGGGAAGTGGGACTGCCTAAGCAAATCAAATGCATTGACAGACAGAAAGCGGAATGCAAAGGGACTCAACCAGGAGCTAAGCGTAGTTGAAGTTGTTTCTTGTTGCACCTCAACAAAGTCTCTCATGGGTCAAGATGATTTGACCATCAAAATGGATGCAATCTGCGGGGTCCCATGACCCTTCGATGAGGTTGCTGAGTTCATGATGAAGCGCGGCTTTCGCCTGGAAGCACCGACTGCCAGATTGACGAATGCCCCATTCGTGTGGGGGTCCTTGGCTGACTTGGCTGACTTGGCTGACTTGGCTGATGCACTGAGTTTGGTGAGGATAGTAAATGAATGTAATGAATGTAAATGACTTATTGATACTTATTGTAGATTCGTAAACTAGACGCACTATATGGACTTTGTCAAAGTGGCATTTTAGCTTCACATGGTGGGCAAGATTTGCTTTGCAGCTGACATTGGTTTGATTGGTTGGGACACCGATTTCCAATCAGCTGCATTGGCAGATGATCTGCCCCTTGATGACTCAGTGCCTATGCTGCGAGGCAGATTCTTCCAGAGGTGCTGTGCGCGTTGAGTCTGACCGTGGACCACTCGACACAACGACAGCGAGTTGCGATAGGTTTCAATAGCTCAAATAAGCCAGCCTAGTCCAACTTCTATAAGAGTTGCCTTTTGTCCAACAAGCCAGAAATAGTTACCTTTTGTCCTGGAGGTGGAGCAACAGGAGGGCAACCCGGTTCTTGCCTCGGGATCTGTCTCTGTCCATGTGGCTCCTTCAGGTCCTTCAGGTCCTTCAGGTCCTTCAGGTCCTTCAGGTCCTTCAGGTTGTGATTGATACCCTCTGGTAATTTAACATAGCTATTGAAAATGGCCCATAGAAATAGTTGATTTACCGCAATTAAAGTGGTGATTTTCCATAGTTTTTTGTCTGTTTACCAGAGGGTACCAGCTTCAATGGCTGTAGGAACTTCATTTGCACATGCAGACCACCGGCAGCTCGAAAGCGTCTGCCTGTCGTGCTTGGCCATGCGTTCAGTGCCTGGATAGGGATCTCCCGCAGTGGCAGGTTGAAATATGCTCCGCTTGAAGATCGAGGGAACAAAGAAATCGTCATGAAGGCCATGCGTGAGGTGGGACAAAGAAGATGGTATGGTGCGAGTGGTGACATTGGATGACATTGGATGTAGATGTGGAAGACGGCAAACATACCATCCAATGATTTGAATCCATTGATATGGTTCAAACATACCATGACAAACATATAGAGATTATACACTGGTTTGAATTTTGAATGACGGAGATTTGAACTTGAAATTTGGAGAAACTTCCCCCAGAAATCTGAAATCCTGGCAGGGCCACGGACATCAGAGCTGGAAGGTCATGCTGTATGGAAGTAAAGAGCCTGGCCCCCATGAGCAGGGCTTCTGCCAATCCCGCAGGAGAATTTGGGGAAACCTCCTAGAGATCCTGTTCCGGAGCAGAATTTGCTTTGCGCAGATTGAAGACTCAGGGTATATACTCACCCAGAAAACGTGGGTGTGTCTAAAAACGGGGTATATTCACAAAATGACTACAATTCAATTGGGAAAATGATAATCATTCATTGGATTTGGGGGGTTTTCCCCTAATTTTTTCAGACACCCACGCATTCACTTTGACCTATTGAGCCCAAGGCTACGGAGGGATCGTGACGTCTTGGCTGAAGCGGTGAAGCAGGACTACACTGTCTGGACCTTGGGCGGAAGCTCATTGGAAGCTGTGGATTGACATATGATATATATATATACTTATATATTATGATTATATATACAATATAACATACATAGTAGATCATATATATTATGTATATAGATATATAATATATATATATAAAACCTATGTATGTATATATTATGAATAAATGTACATACATATAACTAAATGTACATATCTACATATCTATACATGTATATAAATCAAAGTATGTATGTATATATATATATATATACATATGTATTGTTTGTATTGTAATGTAGTGTACTGTCTCAACTAACCATGGCAGCTTTCTCCAGTGCCGTTTCTGGATAGCGAGGGCTTAGCTTTTACTGTGGGAGGCGAATCTACAATGTCGAAATTCGTGTAATGGACCCAGTCCTGGAAGGACCTGGAGGGGTGGTGATTCTCAGGCTATGGCCTATGCTTCGCCATATTATGGAGACCGAAACTTCATGATGAAGGCACAAAGCAAGTCACTGTCTTCGATGCTTTGGCTCACTTGCTTTCTCAGAGGGTTTATTCTTTGGTAAACCAACCTGGCAAATGAAAACCGGCACTTGAAATAGCAAAAATCCGGCAATCAAGCATGGCAACGGAAATCCCCATAAATGAGGGGTTTCATGAGTTTAATGGGTACAGTATGTTTTACTAGACAATTGTCCACAGGCTGTGCAGCAGCATGGCATTGCTCTAAGATATGGCACTGAAGAAATCCGCAGGGGGCTTGGAGTCCTTCTGGCCAGTTGCGGCCATTTGAATAGGCAAATCATTGGATTTTGGGGCACTGGATGTTGTGTGGGGACCGGACTTGCTGGTGAGTCCACAGGGATGCCCATTGTGGTTGCCCGCACTTTCTGGACACGAAAATTGTGCCACGGAGCGCATCCCATGCGATCGGCGTGAGGTTCAGATCCTGATCTGGCCTACGCAGCAGTCAGCAGCCCAGAAAGCTGAAGCCAGAAAGACCTCTTAGCCTTGGGGGTGGTCTTGTTTTGATTGTTTTGGGACAAATCCGATTCCAGCAGATTCCATGCCCGAAGTGAAATCCCATTTTTTTTGGCCGATTTCCCCTAGTTTTGAGGTGAAGACCAGCTGGAGGGCCATGAAGAACGTGTCCCGAAAGCTTTGTGGATCTTCTCGCATCGCGCCTTGGCTGGCGAAAATCTATGGGTTGGTGGATTCCATTCCGTTTCGATGGATTGGTTTAAGGGAAATTTACAGGAAAACCCTCATATGAAAAATGGGAAAATCGATGGTTTCCGGTTAAGAGTTTCCCTGAAACCAATCCATTGACCCTTGGGATAGAACCTGCTTGGGAAGTCGCTGGAGATAGCAGGTCAGAGAAGCTGTGAAGCAATGCTGGCAAGCCTTGGAGTATGCTTCAGAGGAGCTGTTCAGGGAGGCTTAGATCACAGCAGTCAGTGGATGTGGATTTGTAGTAGACCTGGCTGCGAAACGATACCTTGAAGGAGGCCATGATTCTTTGATGTCTTCCGGAAGACAGAAGCAGAAAGTGTCAGAATTGAGTCTCTTGCTCCAGGAGTTGAGGGATGACAAGGACATTGTCAGCATCGAGCTCAGAGATGATCACTTTGATCCCAGGCAATTGATCCACCACTGAGGGTTGGAGGCTCTCAATGTTTGCAGATCACCACCATGGGAACTCCTTCGGTGATTACCCTCTGGTAATCAGACCTGGCAATGCACAAATCCCTCAATTTCTAGATGATTTAGCCATTAAGTCCATCATCTATACGGGATTTTCCAGGCGTGGAGGGTTTTCGACCATTTTTTCCCAACCAAGATCTGGCTTTGAAACAGTCCTGGCGATCTCTGCAGTTTGCTGCTGGGAGCCTCAGAAATACTGCCATGACGGCCCCAACGGCCCCAGCCGAGTTTGCCATGCCCTGAGTCCCTGCGTTTGCGTGGCGAGAGCGGCTTCATGCTGAAAGCGCTGGCGCAGGGGGTGGTGCGGACCTTGGAACGCTTGGAACGAAGGGATTTGTGGAGACAACAGAATTTTCAGACCCAAAGGCCCAGAGATTAGGTATATAGATCAGCGCCCTAAAATTTTGTCTTATTATCAATTTCTGCGTTGGTTTCTGCGAATCTTGATAGTGGTACCAGGGTTTTGACCCATAGCTGGCCATTTAAAGAGATCGACAGATCCAAATATGAGATGCCAATCCATCCTCCAGTGAACCGAAATTGGCCACGAGCTTAGATTGCGTAGACACTGCCATGAGGAGTCCCTACAGTACGCGGCCCCTGCATTGTGCTACGATTATGATTTCATGAAGCAGGTTGGTGTGGCATTGGGGGGCTATATCTGGCCTCAGATCGGTTGGGCAAAACGGTTGAGCCCCCAAAACGGATGCTTCATATGAATATGTAGATAGAAAAGTATGCATATAAATTAACATATGATAATATAAACGATCTCTAATTTTGACCCATACCTAGCTCTCCAAAGCAGTGAAGGCCGTGGCAGTGAACGGCATGGCGCTCCAATATGCTGCCCAAGACCTCATGGACCGAGAGTTGGTGTTGGAGGTGGACGGAGATGTCGCTTCTTGAAGTCTGGTTAAAATGGGGATACCATGGGGATACAATGGGGTAACATGTTATAATTGAGAGGCTTCAATTTCTGAGATTTTTAGCGAGTGAGTCGTTGAGTCGGACTGATGGTGAAAATGTCATCGCAGTCATCGGCCGATGCTAGGCGGTCAGAAATACCTGGCGCGCGCTGGAACATGCCCCGCCAAGCTTTTGCGCGGACCGAGCTGTAGTGCTCGAGGTGCGGAGCTGTAACGCTGTGGAGCTTGGATGCAACACGCAGCGAAAAGGACGTTGTGTCAGTGCATAGAGTCACTGAAGTGATTTTAGTTTCATCTTCACTTGGGTGATCTTTATTGATCTTTGTTTTTGAAATCAAAATCACTTCAGTTTAATTATTCCATCATTTTTCTTGGTCAGGCGGTGCACCAGCACCATGCTGCCTTGCAGCTGGCGTGCCCCAGTGTGCTTTACGACGAGGCTGGGTCGTAGGTTGAGCATTGCTGGTGGATAGTTATCTATACGAACAGAATCGTACAGACACATACCCTCTGGTAAACTAACATAACTGTGGAAAATCACCATTTTTAATGGGAAAATCCACTATAAATGGCCATTTTCAATAGCTATGTTAGTTTACCAGTGGGTATAGGGCCTCAAATTTAAGGCCTGCAGACTGGAGGCCCTGATATATACTTCTTTTTTTTTTGCGCTTACCATCCTGTAGTTGGGGCTTCTCAATTCTGACCAACACCCATATGATGTTATATGGGGTTATGCAAACTTGAACTTCCACTTGAGCACTCACTTGAGCAATGCCCAAAGTCCCTGGTGGTTGTAACCAGTGGAAGGGGATTGCAGTGATGGTCTTGGGCACTAACTTCCGAGTCTGTTCATCAATACAATATACGCCCATTCCCTAAATATTAAAGGTACCCCAGAAACCATGGCTTAGTAGGGATTTGCACTTATTTGGGACCATTCAGGGGTTATATCAATATCCCATTAGATAATACTCAATACATCCCATTAATATATATACATATACATACATACATACATACATACAGACATACAGACATACAGACATACAGACATACAGACATACAGACATACAGACATACAGACATACAGACATACAGACATACAGACATACAGACATACAGACATACAGACATACAGACATACAGACATACATACATACAGACATACATACATACATACAGACATACAGACAGACAGACATACATACATACAGACAGACATACATACAGACAGACATACATACATACATTACATTACATATCACCCATTTAGGGGGGAAGAAGATGCCAATTTTTTTGATACCCTCCGGTTGGATGATGGACCTGGCAGGAGCTAGTCTTTGAAGCCGCCAAGAGGCGGCCAGATTTCTTGCGCTCCTTGGCCGAGAGGAAAAAAACATGGAGAGGGCAGATTCCTATGGGGAAGATTACGAAGACTAGCAACACTTATGGAAAAAAAAATTGAGGACTTCAAGGTGCAAGAAGGGCCACATCGGCCAAGAACCGGGAAATCGGCCAATGGTGCTGCTCAAAGGCCTGGTGCCTGAAAGCCTACGAGGCAGCAGAGGCTGCAGTGCTTTGGGTTCGGGGTGCATCGCAATTACGCTCTGGAACATCTAACCCGGCAATGGGAAATCCCCATTTCTAACGGGTACCAATATAAACGAGGGATTTGGTGCTACCACGTTTGACTGCTGGAGTGTACTTGGTGAAGTGCTTGCTTTGGATGGCAGGTCTCAAAATGTGGTTCCCCTCTGCGGAAATCTGGATCTGTGGACCCTCGAGCCAGGTCTCATGGTGAAAATGGTGAAACTGCATCCCATGTCCCTGCAATATGCCTCTGAGGAGCTTCGTTTGCACCTCAGCGTTGCGACAAGGGCAGTGTTGCGGACCTTTAGATCCTTGTGTTTAGGAAAGACGCTGACCTGGGAATGTAATTATTGTAATTGGACGTGACGTACAGCATCTCTACAGTATTATGTGTATATATATATAGTGCACATATTTATATACATGTGTATCTCAATAGATCAACCATTTCTTCCTCGAGGTTGCGATGAAGACTTGGTCCTGGAGGCGCGGCAGACCTGGGGGTCCTTGGCCATGGGAGTCATTCGTGGACTTTTTTTGGCTCAAGACCTGAAGGCAACCAGCAGACAGACACCACCTATGTATGTGGCACTCTGCAGGATCACATCAGGATCAAGTCCTACTATGCCCTTTTCTTTTTTGGCCAAGCAAATCAAGATCTGTACAGTCTGAGGTTTGAAGGGTCTACGATTGCACATTGGTATTGCATGGAAAACTAAGGCAATGGACGTTGCGGAAAAAAAGCAAATCGAAAGCTTCCCATTCTCGGCTGCAAGACACCAAGTGAATGGAATGGAAAAAGCAAAGTATTTCATTTCTCACACACAGAGGTGTTGCTAAGTTTCCCGACATCGCACTCACCAACTTGCGATCGGTTCGAAGCCGTTGGAGCGTTGACGCAGAACCGTTTTTTTTTGTGGCTGAATCCATTTGGGTGTGAGTGAAAAACGCGGCTACCCCCTTCAATGACGGTTGGTCAAGTTGGTCATCATGTTCCCATTATTTTCCTGTGATAAACCCCGATTTTCATTGAAAGCTGGTTGGCGACTCTCGAAGGCACTGCGTCGCAACTTTCGAAGTTTGCAGCATGCGCCGCTTCTGCGGGGCTCGCCCTGGGCTCAGCATTCTCTCGGGTTTGCTGGAGGATGCAACCAGCAAACACGGTATACTACATTTGTGTATACATACGTACATATGTATTATACATATATATATATATACACATGCATATATGTAATATAAAACTAAACAACCATCTAAACAAGAAAATATGCATATGACAAAACAATCATGGGTATTTAAGGCCCGAAATGATTGACTACAGAATTGGATGCTCTAAAGGGAAAAATGTGCCGAGCCATACCCACCTGAAATCAGGACGAAGTCGTTTGTTCTTGCTCCGGAAATGCATGCCACCGTTCCTGTCCTGGTGTTTGGGACAAAATTTCCCGGGCGATACAACCTTTAGCAATGAAATCATGATCCGAATCTCACTCAAGCCCTGGGATGCAAAGATGCGTCCCTGTTTGTGTTTGAGCCAAGGCGTTCTTTTATGCTTAGAGCTGTGCAAGTGGATGTGGCGCGCCGAGTGCTGATTTGGATGTTGAGTAGTTAGTACGTTGGCCCGTTTGTGTTAGACATTGTGGGTTGGACCGATATCGTGGGTAGTGTTGGATATTGACGTGACATGACCCTAATAGCAGATTCGGTGGTTAATCGACCACTGAAATGGATGATGGTCATCCAATCCATTACTTGGACGTGCATCCATTTGGTATGTGGTTCACAATCATGTTTAGTTCACCAATCGCATAAATGGGATACATGTCATACAATGACACACACACACACTCTCTCTCTATATATATATGATTTATAATGATTTATACACATTACCTACATAATGTGTGTATATGTATATATATATAATGAGTATATATATATATATATCATACACATACAAGAAACATATAGATCAGAACATTCCATTCTTCACCTCACCAAGGCCCTGGCCTTGTCTCTGGCGGATGAGGAACTCCGGGAGGAGACGGCAGATTTTCACACTGCGGTGCCATATGAAATAAATTACAGGACCATACGGCAGGCAGAAACCCCCAGAATCCCATGGTTTATGAATGTTTATGATGTTTATGATCATTTTCCATCATTTTCCATCATTTTCCCGATTAACATGGCCATTTGAGGGTATACTGCATGACATTAGCCATGACTGGGGGACCGTTTCTGAAGCGAAGTGCTGAAGCCAGGACCCTCAGATTGTTTGTGAAGCGGTGGAGCGCGAGTGGGAGATGTTGGAGCACGTTTGCCAGGTTCACAGCTTGGGCGCACCAGAAGTGGGTGAAGTGGGTGAAGTGACTGTGTAATCCCGGTGGTAAAAGTCCGCAATTTGTTTGGGATTATGTACGTCCACTAAGTGGCTACTAATTGAAGATATCTGGCGGTAAAATCTGCCGATGATATACGAATTTTGATCAGTTGGTGGATTATCTTTTGGTGCCGGGGAGGACTTGCGCTCAAACTACGCCTTCATGATGGAAGCAGTCGGCAGCAGCCTTGGGAAGTGATCTTGATCGACAACAGGCTGATGATTCCATGACGAGAGTGATGTGAGTTGTTGCACATATGTTTTTGGATGAACCTATCTGTTTATTTTGTTGCTTCTTGCTGCTGTATAGTGCTTCTTGTGTTCAACTGTTCTTGTGTCTTAAACCCCGTGATCGGGGTAATGTGTTTGCCGGTCCATCTATTTGCCTCTCTGTCTATCTATCTATCTCTCTATATATATTATATTATATTATATTGTATTATATTTTATATTTTATATTTTATATATTATATTATATTATGTATTCTATA